TACCTGAGACGCCGTTTATGTGTGGACAAAAGCCCAAGAAAAGTACGCAATGCATTACTTGCATTACAAGTAAAAAGTACGTTTTAAAATATACCCGTGTACGTGTGGACAAGGCATAAGAATCTTCTCCAGGCCACTCGACATCACACATCACGTAGGTCACAGTCGTCCTTCCGGCGTGGGCAATAAAGGTACTTTGGCTGTTCAAGCAGCTGAGTCTGTCTAAATGTGATGCTCAGCATCGATGTCCGTCACCATCGGCGCTGTTCGTACCTCGAGTTCTCTAGCTGTGTAATAAATTGGCTTCGCTCCGGGGACGTGGGCCGGGCCAAATCCCTTTGCAGTCCGCTAGATCCGAATGAGAAGAAGGCCAGAGGTAATGGATTCTTGAGTAGGATTGACCAGATAATCCATGTAAGTAGGGACACTTTGAGCTGCATAGTTTTACAAACTACTTTAAAACTGAAAGGCTCCTGTATTTGGCTAAATAGTTCATTTCTTCTTGCGTTTTGACTGGCTTGTTTCCTTGATTGAAGACTCATCCAGCTGTTTCACATTAACATTAGTAGCACAAGCATGATTATAGGAGACTGACCAATCAGCACACGGCAAGAAGTACACAGTAAACTTGAGGTCCTTTTAATTGAAATTGTAGCTTATAAATCCTGTCCTAACTCAAAGTGATCCCCCCTGACATGGATTATCTGGTCACCCTACTCTTGAGGGACTCAGTTCTGCCTTTTGTTGGGTTTTCCATAATATTGAAATGAATATATACCAGGGCTATTCAAATCACGGTCCACAAGGTCTGAACCCTGCTGATTTTCCAGCCTTCCTTTAATCATGAGCCAGGTGTGAAGCCTCTGGCCAATCAGAATCAGTAATTATTACACCAACTACCTGGAAGAACTGAAAACATGGCCTGGATTTGGAATCAATGTCCAGATTTGAAGACCCCCAATATACATAGTCAGTGGATTATCAGCTGGTATGTCATAAAGAGATTCATAACGTGTGTAGTTCCCATATAGTGTTTGGTTGTAGTAATAATGATAATTGATACTTTATTGATTCCTTCTCTTTATTTCTTCCCCAACTTGCTCTCTGTAGGTGAGAGCAAGCTGGCTGTGAAGGGCAGCCACCCATAGCATCGCCCAGGGAGCTGGGGGTTAAGGGCCTTGCTCAAGGACCCGCAGACATGCTGAGGCTGGGGTTGAATTGGTGACCTTCTGATCACAGACACAGAAGCTTAGCCCACTGAGCCACACACACCCACCAGTTTGGTGGAGGAATTGGGCTGCCATCATCATCCACTTTTATGTCTGGAGCCACGCCATTGCATTCCTCCTCCTCCCCACAGGATGCAAACGTGAGGCCGTCCTGCTAGGTCTGACGGTTCTTCTTACGTTCCCCGCAGATTTCATGCGGAGCTCCTGTGTGGATGCCGGCCTCATCCCTCCCCTGGTGCGGTTGCTGCACTGTGAAGACCAGGAGGTCCTGCTCCAGACGGGCCGGGCCTTGGGCAACATCTGCTACGAGAGCCGTGAGTAGCACCACCGACCGTTCCAGCGGCTTCCTGAACCGTGTGCTGGCTCTCCACTCTCAAGATGGTGATGGTTGACTATCAACGTCTAGGCCAGGATGGTTTTACTTATTTTAATGCAAAGAATAGCTGCCTCAAATCATGTTGGGGTGACTGAAAGTGCTCTTTTTAATAGCATATTTCACTTTCCAGTGGCCTGTTGTGTCACCCTTCGTCCGCAAATTAGGGTTAGCCAGCGGAAGCTAGGCCTAGGATTAGAAAGGTTATGCTTTTTCAGACACCACAACCTATTTTTATAATGGTTCAGAGTCTCTGAATAACGGGAAACCACAGGTTAACCCAATTTAATAGTATATTTCATACTTTTCCAAAGGCCTATTGTTTCATCCTACGTCCCCAAATTAGGGTTAGCCGACTGAAGTTAAGGTTAGGTTTAGGAAGGTTCTCAGACATCAAAACCTGTTTTTATAATAGTTCAGCCCCCCATAATGGGAAACCACAGTTTAACATAATTCAATAGCATATATAATACTTTCCAACTGCCTGTTGTGTCACCCTATGTCCCCAAATTAGGGTTAACCAACTGTAGCTGGGGTTAGTGTTAGAAAGGTTATGGCTTTTTAAGGCATTGAAACCTGTTCTACGATTGTTCTGGGGCCCTGAATGATGGGAAACCACAGGTTTAAAAGATGAGGGAACATTGTGACCAGGCCTCCTTGCCAGAGTAGTTTTAAGAGAAATATTCTGGAGGAATCAGGAGGTCTTCGGTGCCGATGTTTGCCCTGGGGCCTGAATGGAACACCATGAGGGGAAAAGCCCAGAATCTGAATAACTGGCTTTCAGTGCAGTGCTGGTCCAGTGAACTTCCGAGCCGAGAGAAGCGGTGCTGTGTTTGTTCGAAGCGGAATCCACATGATGCAGCTCCCTGAATCAGACGATCGGCGTCGGGATTGGCGGAGGCGTTATCCTTTCAGGAAGCACAGAATGACTCTGCGGAACTCGAAAGGTTACAGGATGAAAAGGGTCCAGATTGAAAGTCAATTCCGGAAGCGGCAACTAAAGAGTCCTGGCAGAAATGAGAACATTTCGTCAAAGGCATCTGCCTGAATTGTGGCTGAGGTATAGGGGAATGCCATCTGGGAACATCTACATATGAATAAATTCAGGAAAAATATTTATGGAGAGCTCATCCACTGAATATGGCTCATAGTGATGTCCTGTCCTATTGCAATGTGGCACCAAATCTGTTACTTTGTTAATGTTAGCTTCGTAAGTCTCAGTTATGAACAGGACAACTATTCAGGTTTTCTATTCTGAGTTACAAAAGTACAATACTGTGTAAATATCTGTCAAAGTGTGTACAAACCAAAAGTGTGTACTTGTGTCGGCTTAACTATTTTAAACCTCTCCTAAAGTCACCCCAGTATTTGGCAGCAGTCGTCCAATACACCCGTGTATTTTTTGACTTGACCGCTAGCACACTTCGTATGGCTAGTCAATACGTCATTGAGTTATTTAACTAATTAATTAAATTAATTAAGTGAGCTGGTGGTGAAATGTAACAAACAAATGGAACGGCTGAGGTGCCCCTGAGGAGAGGTTTGGGAACTGAAGCGGTGTTCATCTAGCCGTCCAGCAAGATACCGGTAACTTTTGGAGAGCAGAAGAAATTCTCGTCAGCTTTCATTTTATTACTTTTAATTTGCATATGTTCTAATGTTAATTGTGTTTCTTTCTGAACAAATGTGTACTTATGTTTCCTTTGACTGCCTAAGACTTTTGCACTGCACTGTATGGAGAAAAATATTTGGTTCCTGGAATATATCCAAGGGCCTAGGTGAGCCGGCAGTGATCTCATCCTGTCCGCCTCTCATCCTCTCATTCTGCACCTGTGAAGGACATGGGTAGAGTTACTCGGGGTGATACTGCACTGTGATTGATAGGGGAATGATGATTGAAGAGATCTGGATATTGAATACGCCGTCTCGCCTCTTTAGCCTGCGTCAGCTGCGCACACACGAGTAAGCGTTGTCATGGTGCTCGTTGTTTTTCGCGTTTTTGTTCCTTGTGTCTGCTTTAAAGCATGACAGGGTGGCTTGGTCGGCAGCACTTTTGCTTCACACCTCCAGCGCTGGGGGGGCTTGAATTCTCTCCCAGTTCTGTGTGTGAAAATAGCTATTAACAGGCAATATAACTCTCTCCCCCAATGGAATAATTGTTCTGAGTGTACAAATTCTAAGCTTTAGAGGAGAGAGATGGAAAAACCCACCCTCTCTGGCGCTGGTGCAAACTGAGGGGGTGCTGTCAGCTGGCCATTGTTTCCAGTGTGGGGCAGGAAGGACTGGGGTGGTGCAGTGGTTAGCACTGTTGTCTCAATTGTCTGGGGTTAGGGTTCTCCATCATGGCTCTGTGTGTGGAGTTTGCATGTTCTCCCCATGTCATCGTGGGGTTTCCTCCTGGTACTCTGGGTTCCCCCCACAGTCCAAAGACATGCTGAGGTTAATCCGAGTCACCGCGTTGCCCGTCGGTGTGCATGTGTGAGTGAATGAGGTGTGATTGTGCCCTGCCATGAGTTGGCGCCCCATCCTGGGTTGTTCCCTACCTTGTGCCCATAGGCTCCAGACCCCCGTGACCATGAATAGGGCAGGTGGTTACTGAAGATGGAGGGAAGGACCGAGGACAGTCCCTTATGAATGTGACCTGTCTCATCATCACACACGCCAGTCCAGAGGTTTTCTATTGGGTTTTCTCTCAGCCTTAATCTGTTTTGACTGACTGATGATCTCGGTTAAATGGAAAAATCACCAACGAGACCAGAGTCGCAGTAAGCGGTCAGCTGTGTCTGCACCCAGCTCAGTAACATTAATGAAAACTAAAAACTATAAGGAAACAGGTAGCATTTTACATGAAGGGACACACATAATGTAATACACTTACTTAATGTATTAATCAGAAATGAAGTATTGGTTTTGTACTGATCCCATGTTCGTTCATCATTAATCAAACATAACAGTTCATGTATTTCATGCAGTTATTACATTGGTTCATGGTTTGTACTTGAGTAGTAACTGAGTTACTAAGTTACTTGTGTCCCCTAAGTAAAGTGTTACCAGAAAACAATTTCATAAACCGAAAAAAAAATAAAATGAGGAAATAAAAAACTACAGCTAATTGGAAATTATAAACATTGCTTCTGAAATTCTTAAATAAAATGTCAGATACTTTCTGTTACCATTTTTAATACTATTTAGGATGTAGCTAATGAAATTATTACTTTATCTTTAAGTTTTGCCCATTTCAGGGACATTAGTATGTAATGTGCACTGTGTATTCAAAAAGGATTCTCAGAAAAGCGGACTAGCTGTGCAAGTTTGTTTGCCCCTAGAAATAAAATTACCAATTTAAACTGTAACTAAAATAGTTACGGGGGGGGGGGGGGCTGTGTGCTGCAGTGCGTCTTTGACATCCTCCAGCTGATGGGAACAGGCCGTGCGACACTGATTCCCACCACCCTGTCAGATTAGTCCACTGATATTACTGCTGGAGAGCTTCATGCTCGAGGCTCTCGGCATCCAGTAAAATAACGTGACAGAATGACAGGGACAGAGACTAGACGCCCAAGGCAGCAGCGCGGACTTCGCTGACTCAGCGGATTACACAAATCACGCGCCATCCGCTCAAGCTGCGGCTCCGTTACCTCAGGAGATGGCTGACGCTGCAAATTCATGATAAGCCCACTGGCTTTGGGTTATAACTGTAATTCTGTAGTGTAGAATTCAGTCACGTTTGGCAGCAGCCATTAGGGACTAACGTGCATCGTGGCTGATAGTGGGCTTTCCAATCAGGGGTGCATATATGGGCGGGGGCCCCAGCCGAAAGCTGATTGGCCCCCAGAGCCAAATTCAAATCATGTCATTGGCTAATGATAAGGTTGGCCGCTTTGTATGAATTATGGCACCTCTTATACTGCCCATCTTCAAAAATCCGGTAATCGCCCCTGTGTCCTATATGTCCGTGGCTCTCCTGGTTATCCTGCTATTTTCCTGCGAGTCATCTCTGTCGTGATTGTTATAAAGTCTTGTAGCTCATCAAGTAGAATTCTGTGCTGGCAGTGTGAAGGTTGTGGGTTCAAATCCCAAGGAGCAAGCACAAGTTGTAACCTTTCCCTCTGCTTTAATTTGCTTTGGATAAAAGTGTCAAGTTAATGTAAAAAACTGTCACTACCCTGCCTCCTAATAACCCAACATAGTCTCACTCTCATGTATGACAGTAATTCCATTAGTTAGGGTTAATTTGTTTTTAGCAAATGTTTTCATCCAAAGAAGGAGACATCATTTTATGGGGGGGGGGAGCAGGGTCCAGTAATCCCCACAGTAACTGAGGATAAAGGGTCTTGCTGAGAGATCTGATGGTGAAATCCCCCTGCTGTTTGCAGGACTTGAACCCACAACCTTCTGATCACTAGCACTGTGTCCTATTCCACTGAGTCATCCCCTCTCCTTAGCTCCACTCTTAGCAGGTGTAATTTCTCCATGTTTATTTGCAGCTTATGACTGAATCTAATTTGAATTAATGTAGTCAGCGCTAACAGCGGCTTCCCAGTGACTCCGTAGCCAACAGTCAGGTAAGTGGGCAGAAAACGGCTTTGCCAGATGCCCGGGCTGGAAGACAGGGGGGGCACCCGGGACCGGCGCTCAATCCACGGACAGCAGAAGGCCAATTACGCAGCTAATGGGCTCAAGCGGAAGCCAGCTGCCCACTGTTCGTACACCGTCACGGCGCCCCTCGGTGGCTGTCATTAGTACTGATGGCGGCCACATCTGCATGGCATTCGGGGGTCGCTGAATTCCCCTGGCAGAAACGTCGGCTTGAGTGAGTACGGATGCTTCTCAACTTACCATGGCGTTACGCTCAGTAGATAGCTACTGTCACTAAATACGTAAATAAATAAATACTGTAACTAATTAAATACCAGTAATTGGAAAGTAAATCAATGAATACAAGTTTAATAGGGTAAACAGAAAAAAAGCACTTTATAATACGTTGTTAAACACTGTATGAGATATTGATGCTCGCAGTTGCTACGGAGACTGCAGTCGTGGATGGGTGGATACTGCCATCGCCCAGCATCAGCAGAAAGTATCGTACAGCATATCGATAGCCCAGGAACGGATTCAAATTCAAAGTTTGATGACTACCGAATGTGCGTCACTGTCGCACCGTCGTAAAAGCGAAGTATCGTAAGTTGAACCATCGTAAAGTGGGGTGCATCTGTACTGCCAATAATTCAGAGTAATTAAACGCTAATCCACAGCCCCGAAGTCAAACAGGCCATCGGCGTGAATACTCCGAAGCTGACGCTCCGACAATGAACTGGCGTTATTAAACTCCAATCCAGAGTCGTTCACATGGACCACCGTTTCCATAACGATCGGCAGCATTCTGTGTGTTCCTGGCACGATGTGTGCATTAATGAGGAAGCCGGCTGACTTGTGGCTCTCTGGCAGAAGAAGACGGGTCAGCGTGTGGATGGCAGCTGACGAGTGTAGCGCAGGTGAGTGACATTTCAGGACACGGTGGAGCCAGTTCTGCAGCTTTCTGTGGAATCAGTTCAGGCACAAAGGGCGTTATTTGAAGAAAAATACAGGACCTTTTCAAAGCTACTATAACCGTGTTCGCAACTGCACAGGAACCAAGCAACTGAAATGCCACAGTACACTGGCCAGAAGACGGCTTCACATTATCATACAAACCAAGACGTTAATCTGTGGGTTATTCTACGCCGTCCTGTCACCCTGACAGGGCCAGAAGTAAGATGATATCAGTTTTCTGGGTAGGTGGGGGGGGCTCCCATGCAGAGGTGGAAAATTCAGGTCCAGAAAGTACAAATCCAGACCAAGATTTCGTTTCAACCAACCAGTTCAGCATAAAGAGTCACAGTCACAGAGTACTTATGTGGTTGGTTGAAACAAAATCTTGGTCTAATCGTATTTTAAGCAGTTTTTTTTTTCAATTGCAGGCAAAGTAAGCAGCTTAGCAGTTTAGGACATTGAAAGGCTCTTGTTTATGTTTCGAAGGTCATTGGTTCAAATCCCACTGGTACACTTTTGGGTCCTTAACCTCCAGTTGCTGCAGGGACTGACTGACCATCCTCTCCCTTACGAATGAGCATTGCCTTGGATAAAAGCATGTTAATTATAACTGGCTACCGGGGGGGGGGTGGCAGTCACACAATTTTCATTTGTTTTTCCTCAGAATCTTTACAAGCACAGCTGGTCAGCCTGGGCGTGATCCCCACCCTGGTGAAGCTTCTCAGTGTCCAATCCCACAATGCAGCAGTGACAGAGATGTGCCTGGTTGCCTTTACCAGTTTGGCGGAGCTGGGTGAGCTCAGGGTTACCGCGACGGTACAGTAACGTGCAGGGTGATGAGATGAGACTCATAAGGCCCAGAAACTCAACCTGCTGCTGTCGCAGGGAGTCAATTCCCACCAGTAGTGTTTTAAAAAATAAAATGCTACTTCCTGTATGCTGCTAAAGATGAAACCGTCTCTTTAAAACTCCGGACTGCTTATGTTAGCAGAAGAACATCTGTAGGGTAAATAATGGCTGACTGGACCTTCTGTTTCGTCCAACCTCAGAGTCGAGTAAGGAGCAGTTTGCTTCCACGGACATCGCTGGGGAGCTGGTCAAGCTCCTCCAGAGGCAGGTGGAGCACGAGAAGAAGGAGATGATCTTGGAAGTCCTCGCCCCACTGGCAGAGAACGGTGAGGCCTTGGGGGGGCAGGGGGAGACACAAGGGTATTATCAGAGGCTGCAAAGACGGAGAACAAGTAGTCAACAAGCAATGTCATCATCCATGGACCTTCATATGGCATCCACAGCAAGAACATCTTTAAGGCTTTGTAGCGATGCGGAGTTTGGTCTGAATGAAGACGCCTCAGAGATTTTAGATCTTTGTTCAGTGAGTCCCTTTGTGACCCCAGCGCCCCCCCCCCCCTCCCAGTTCTCTCTCTCTCCGCTGACTTTTCAGGCAGATATAAGCAGACGGAGATCACAACGGGGTTTCAGATCTCATTGGAAAGGCTCACCACGTCCAAGTAAAACACGTTTCTAGATATCGAGTAGATATCTGTAAGGTGTTATCGTGCGAGTGCCATGTTGACGACATTCTCATAGACGGCCTTCTTCATAAGGAGGTTCTGAGCCGAGCAGGAAGCTCCACGGGAAGAACCTCAGCACCTCTGGTTCCACATCTTTGATTTCTCCACCTTCTCCACCTCTCATCTCTTTCCTCACACCCCCTAGTCTGCTGCCTCTCTGCTTGTGCCAGACCCGTGTGTTCTGACTATCCCTCCCTCCCCAGACCGAATCAAGCTGCAGCTGGTGGAGGCTGGTTTGGTGGAGTGTTTGCTGGAGCTGGTGGAGCAGACAGTGGATGGGGAGCTGGAGGAGGATGCGGTCGAGCTGAAGACGGCCTCGGACCTCATAGTGCAGCTGCTTCTAGGAGGTAGAGTGACACGTATTAAACAGCAGTAGGAGCAATCGCATCAGAAGACCAACAAACCGACAAGCTTACACTTTCTCATGAATGTCAACCAGAAAGAGACCTCACTATATAAACACATCTCAGTAATGGCAATCTTAAAGCTTTACACTTTCATCCAATTTTGGGATGTTCTGGGGCAGATCTAGCTAGTGCTGCTCTTTCAAACGTGTTTTATAAAGTTCAGTGGTGGAATGTAACAAAGTATTTCTACTTCGTTACTGTACTTAAGTACATTTTTACGTATCTGTACTTTACTTAAGTAAAAATAATAATACATACTTTTTATTTTACTCCATTACATTTTGCGGCAACTATCTGTACTTTCTACTCCACTACATTTCTACAATTTATGCCGTTAGTCGTTACATTTTATGAACACAATTTCCTCAAAATCTTGCATGAAAAAATGGTCAGCCTATTGCGTTCTGGCGTTGTTTGCCATTTCCTACCAATCAGGTGGCTTTATTAGCTCCAATGATGGCAGAGCGCGCGTCAGTTAGCAGCACGAGCTGGTAGACTGGCTTGATTTCAAGAAGACGAGACATTCAACATGGACCCAGAACCAATACACATATACTGTATAGTTGTTTGTAATTATTACGAGCAATGACATCGGTAGAGGCGAAAGTCAGTATATGTACTATTCTTTTACAAAATGGCACACCCCAAACGTTGAGACAAACCATTGTGTGAGTACTTTTACTTAAAAAAATACTTTAAAGTAAATTTAAAAGTACTTAGTACTTTCACTTAAGTAAGATTGTTGATGTAGTACTTATACTTTTACTTGAGTATGTATTTTGCAGGATATTTGTACTTTTACTGAAGTACTAAGCTTCAGTACTTCCTCCACCACTGATAAAGTCCGACATCGGAAACAGATTACATACCAGAAAATACAGTATAAAAAGAGCATCAAAAAAAGATACATTTAGCAGTTTTAACCAATCGGCAACTCGCAAACAAATAAACGATCAATAAAGTATCACTTGTAAAAAAAAAAATCTAGCCGGCCAATAGGGGCCCCTTGATTACTCTGGGCCCCTATGCTGCAGCTCCATAACTACTTCTGATAGAATCATCTGATCCACCAATTTCTGGGGCCAAATTCTACCTACAAGTCAGCTGTCCGATTTCAGCTGAATAGAGCCGTGAAGAGCCGTTTCCTCCGGCTGGTGGGGGGGTGCGAGTTGTGCCCTTCAGCTGCAGGACAGCATTCATTTTTTTACCCCCCCCCCCCCCTTATAAATAACACCCGATGCTGATATATAATCCCGGTGTCCTTGCTGTCGGCCTTAGAAGGCTGACATGAGGGTATATTTAGGTGAATGAACCTCACCCCCCTGCCCAAAATGTACCTTGTGATGTGCCTTGTGATGTACCTTGTGATGTACCTTGTGATGTGCCTTGTGATGTCCCTTGTGATGTACCTTGTGATGTACCTTGTGATGTACCTTGTGATGTGCCTTGTGATGTACCTTCCAGATGAATCCATGCAGAAGCTGTTTGAGGGAGGTGCGGGTTGTGTGTTCCAGAAGGTTCTCTCATGGGTGCCCTCCCACAGCCACCAGCTGCAACTGGCTGGGGCTCTGGCCATCGCCAACTTCTCCCGTAACGGTGAGCCCCTCCCCTCCACCACGAAGGAAGAAGCAGACTGCAATCGATGGCATGGTTACCTGTTTAAATATATTATGTCTGATGATGCCTGCCTCAGATGCAAACTGCATCCTCATGGTGGAAACGGGCATCGTGCAGAAGCTACTGGCATCGCTGGAGCGCCACGTCGTCGATGGCAACGTCACCGTGCAGCACGCCGCCCTCAGCGCCGTGAGGAACCTCGCCATCCCCGGTGAGCGCCCGCTCCACCGAGCAAACGCCACCAGATTGGCCGATCTCCCCGCCAAGTCCCTCCCACTCTCTGTGGATTGGCTGCTTCCTCAGCTGACTGGGACACGAAAAAAAAAATATGTTCCATAAAGGTGACGATACACAGGGCAACTTGTCATGCAATATTGCCAGGCAATTTCCAACCAAGTGAGACAAAGGGCAACTGTATATGAACACGAAAAGTTGCCCATTGCCGATCAAAGTGTTTCAAATAGAAATTTGTTGCCCAGTATCAATGGGAAAGCACCCAATCAACACTGGCCAGCAACATTGCCCGGCAACATTGCTCTAAAAGTTGCCCTGTGTACCGTCACCCTAATAGTTTTTAAACTGCAGGTTTTGGGCCACATGACATATACGAATGCAGAAGCAGGAAACTCAACATCAAGAGTGTTGAGAGTCTGAATGCACTTTTGGCAGAGATGATCCTCAGGTGACAGCAGCTTTTCCACTGACGGTCTCCTCCCCAGTGGTGAACAAGTCCAAAATGCTGTCGATGGGCACGGCGGACGTGGTGCTGAAGTTGTTGCCCTCGGAGATGCCCGTGGTGCAGTTCAAGCTGCTGGGGGCACTGCGGATGCTCATAGATACGCAGGGTAAGTACGTCGGTGCCCGGGCTCCGGCCGTTTGGTCCGACGCCAGCGAGAGTCGACCCTAAAATCCCCCGGAACCGTGGGCTGACATCGGTCCTGGTCCTCTTACAGAGTGCCTCTGTGTGGCTCTCCCAGTGTCCCAAAATAGCAGCAGACGATGGTTTTATGATGTGGAGCAGGGGAATTAGAAAGGAGGACATTTCTAAAAGACGCTGCGTGCGCTGCACCTCGCTGGTCTTTAAATAACATGGTCAGGGCGCTCCGCTTTCGCCTTTTTTGAGCAATAGCTGTTCCCCCGGAGAGCTAGAAAATGTCACAGTCTAATGTGGACTTCAGCCAGGTGTGTGGGATGCAGTGGAGGTGAGGGATCAAGCAGTACCATGGGGGGGGGGTGCTTTATTTTTAGGACCCACAGCAGTGGGATGTGATGGACTGAGGCTTCAGCATGCAGGAGCCATCCTCCCGCAGCTAGGGGGCGTGCTAACGTGGAGAGCCTTGAAAAGAGGCGGGGCGGTCCCTCTGTACGGCAGGCCTTACCCCAAAGCAAACATCAAAGTGCGGTCAAAAAACACAGCAAGTGGTTCATGAAGCTTCATGTAACCATCACTAATTAGCAGTCATCAAAGGTGGAGGTACTGAGAAGTGCAGTAGCTTATTTAAGAACTGTGCAAGCTGTTGTTTATTGCTTAAGCAATCCCAGAATGCATCTGTGGTGGAGGCGGGAAAAGCAGCTGGGTGTTTGGGGGAACCCTGAGAGTGAGTCTGCTGCCCCCTGGAGGCACGGAGGATAGGCAGCCTGACCTTCAGATGAAAACCACACAGAGAGAAATAGTCACTTATCAAATTAGCCTCTGCTGCACGAGGGAGCGTGAGGTCACCGTTTCATAGAAAAAGCCGGCAGCTTTAGGCGGGAGTGAGGAGCAAACCGCCGAGCCGTGCACTCCTGACATCCTTGTCCGTGCCTGGGTGTGCAGCGCAGGCCGCGGAGCAACTGGGCACCAACCCCGTACTGGTGCAGCGGCTGCTGGAATGGTGTGATGCCAAGGACCACGCTGGGGTGATGGGAGAGTCCAACCGGCTGCTCTCTGCCCTCATCCGGCACAGCAAGTCAAAGGTGGGGGGCCAGAGGTTCTCACACGCCACATGCCAACATCATCATCATCATCATCATCATCATCATCATCATCGTCATCTAAACACCCCATCATCTGGTCACTATTACATCAAATACCGCAGCGGCTCTTGACCACGACATCCTCATGAGGTCAAAGTAAACTCACAGAAGCACCTGGTAAACATTGCTGCCCCCCCACACACACACATGCATACAGCAGAACCTCCCTTAAACCATGATCCTACAAATGTCCAGCAGGACCTAAAACCTGACCAACTCCCCAGAATCATCCGCGTTTTAGTGTCACTGCTTCACCCCTGCCCAGTTTCTGTAGATGAGACCCGCAGTTCACCAGGCACACAGCAGGGGGGGCAGTGTTAAAGGATAATTATACCACAGCATTATTGAATTCTCTAATCTGTATGTTCAGGAGGGTCGATCAATTTTCTAGAATCACACACGTAATACCAGCCATTCGAATCACATGTAAGCCAAATGTTTAATACTTACTGGTTAAAGCTAAAGACCAAGCTAGTGATTTAAGGCACTTATCACCCTGCCTATGGCTCTGTGTATGTCTCCTTCCCACGAGGAACCCACTCCACAGTTTGTGCTCAATATTAACAAGCTTAGCAGGACTGGATGATGCCCGCACACGTTCAGAGGGATGTGGCCGGCCTCCGGTTCCAAGCCGAATGTGCTTGACAAGCCGCGACCTCCCACTCTGAGGCTGTTTGAGTTATTTGGGAGGCTTGTTTTCGTTAGCGCTTAGTCCAATTGGAAACTGTGAGTCACACGACCCAGC